CTATGTAGCTCACTGCAGAACTGACCAAGAGAAGGGACCAGGAAGGCCAAGCCTGCAGGAGGACAGGAAACATGCAAAATGACCCTCAGAGGGAAACACACAGATCTAATCAAGACAGCTCGCCTCAGGCCCTCTGAACGGATATCTCACCCACCCCTGGAGGTACGCAGAACCCTACGGAATTGTCCAGTCTCAAAGAGCACACCTTTAAGGTGTTATTTTTCTGTCAACCCTCAATCAGGAAAAAGGTCTTTTCAAATCTCACTCCTTTCATTTTATAGTTTGGCCCCAAGACATGTCTTATGTTATACAAATTTAACGTGTATAGAATTTTTAGTATTTTCTATCCACATCCCAATATACCAATTTGCAGTCACCCCCACCTTGAAACAAATAATGTAACCTGCTAGCCACGCCCTCAAAGTATTTCATGTAGTCACATGGTATCTGCTGGCCAGGCAGATCACTGATTACCTGGGTCCTCATAGAGTTCAAACTTTTGCCACACCCAGGATTGAGAAGAATAAAAAGGAAACAGACCCTCACTATGTTTTATTTCTTGCGCCACATTGTAGACACCAACATATTTTCTCCTTAACGTTCATTCTTGGAATGCTCTCCTATTACAGAAGTGGTGAGTCACAGTTGAGAGAATCGTTGGGACTTGTTCCACCCACTGGAACAAGCCAAACCGAGGAAGACCTTGGTTTCTCATGCAGCTCTTTATGCTGGGGGTGTTGCTCTCAATCTGCATGATCACATGGGGCAGATGTTTATTCATGACGGTGACCCCAAGTGAAGTGAGAAATTTCTTGGTCTGACTTTCTTAAAATTCAGCCAAAGGTCCACCCAGGGAGCTCAACCAGCTCCAGAAACTAAAATGAGGATGACAAGACGTACGAGGGTCAGGACTGGAAGACACTGAAAGGCCTGAGTATATTCCAGGCAAAAGGGTGTGCACTCAGTGACAGAAAGGGGCGTCAGGGCAGAAGGACGAGGGAGGGGGTGAGAGCAGCACTGGTCCTCTTCTTGGATTCAAAGGCTATGAATTTGAACTTTTTTCATTTCCTCCCTATGAGAATTGCACTCGAAATTTAAAATACTCCTAGAGACTGTCACTCTTACCCCACTGCTCACGGCTGGAGTCGACCTGCAGCAAAGGTGCCACACAGAATGCTGGGATCCTCCAGACTTTTCCTCCTTCCACTAGGCCCTTCTATTCAGGCCTTTCCCTCCGCCATGTCTTAATTTATCCTGTTAGTTCTGTGGTCTTCAAAGTGTGGCCTCCAGACCAGCAGCGCTGGCATCACCTGAGCACGTCTCAGAAATGCTAGTCCCCAGGACCACAACAGACCCACCGATTCAGGAACCCTGGGGGTGAGGCCCAAATGTCTGTGCTTTTCCTCGGGTGATTCTGATGCTTGCTAACGTTTGAGAACTGCTGCTGTAGATAATATTATAAAAAATGACTCTACGATGAGAGAACATGTGCATTTTAGGAGAGGACTTGTAAACAAGACAAGCCACTCAAGTGCCAACTGAGTCATTTTCTAGCAGTGGATCTCAGGTCATGTGACAGACAGTGAGAGAGACTGGAGGCTGCTGTATTAGTTCAGGCCGTCATTATCTTTTGCCTTTAGTCCCACCCATCTCAATCTCCCCACATTGCCACTAGAAATATTCTACCTTAAAATCTGATGTTGAGACGCAACTTAAAACCCTTCAGTGGCTGCTCCCTGACCCTAAGATACCCTCCCAATCCCATAGCAAATGACCCAGGTCTTTCATCATCTGCTTCCAGGACACTTCCCTGGCTTTGTTTTCCTCCCGCACTTTCCCTCCTACTTGGCCTCTTCTTACTGTCTGCAGGAGGTTTATACTTCCCCACACCACCGACCTCAGCTTTGGCCATGTGACTTACTTTGGCCAGGAGCAAGAGAGCTCAAGCGCTGTCTGCTGCTTCTGAGCAGACCTTAAGTGCTGTATTTGTTCTGCCGTGTTTTCTTTTTTCCCTTTCCCATAAGGGAGGTATCATCCCAGAAAGAAGCTGTTTTTTAAGCCTCAGAGGGTCCCAGAATGAAAACAGATCAGAAGCAGAACCACAGCTGATCTACACTGGATGTGCAGCGTAAGTGAGAAATAAACTTTGGCTGTCATAAGCCACTGAGATTTGAGGGTTGTTGTTCAGCCTAAACTGACTATTGGAGCATTTTTGATCTCCCATATCCTCTCTGCTTGGAATGTCTTCTCTCCTCAGCTCTACCCTCCCTTCCAATCCCTCCTCCCCCTTGTTTGCACAAGAGACTGGCTCATCGTTCTACACTCAGTTCAGGGTTTATCCCCTCAATCAAGTCTTTTTTATTTCCCAGGTCTAAATGATTGCTCCTACCTTTAAGAGCTCCTCTGGATGCTACAGACCTGTAACATCCCTGGAACTACACTTGGGGTTTTCCATTAATTAAAACAATTCCTCTTCAGCCCTGGCTGGGTTGCTCGGTGGATTGAGCACTGGTCTCTGAACCGAAAGATTACTGGTTTCATTCCCAGTCAAGGCACATGCCTGGGCCAGGTCCCCAGTTGGGAGTGTAAGAGAGGCAACCAATCACTGTTTCTCTTCCTCTCTTTCTCTATCCTTTCCCCTCTCTCTAAAAATAAATAAACACAAACAAATAACAAGTTCGTTTCTTAAAAAAACAAACTCCTCTTTAAAAAAAAAAAAGACTTCTCATTTTACAGAATGGGAGACTTTGACTCGGCAAAGCAAACTTGTCCAGGTTTCCCAGCCATCAGCCACAGAGACAGAGTTCTCACCAGGTGCAGATCTGGCTCAGAAATAAGCAAGCATGTCCCTGTCCCCCATCCCCCCCTTCCCTCCTCCAGCAGCAAGCTTTCAGATCCTCCCACTCCAGGAGAGGAGTAAAAGTCTTCCTAACAACGGAAAGGGCTGCTGAATTAATTTGACACCTGAAAGATCTGCATCTGAAAGTGGGCTTCCTACCCCCTGAGAAGATCATGGCTTTCTCTAAGTGGATGTATTTATTCTTAAGGCTCCCGGGAAAGGCCCTGGAGACCCCTGAGAACTAGGGCAGTTTGTGCCTTTCCTCAGGTCCCACGCAATGGGCAACTGTGGTGCGATAAGACAAGGAGACTCCCACTTCCAGTGCCCAAGGAACCTTTGGGAAGGAGGGTCTTTTGGATCTGTCAAAGGGTAGGAGGTTAAGTACCAGAGGGGTCAGAGTTCCCAAAGAACCCACTACGTATTGATATTTCATGTATTAAAAAGGAAAATGGCCCTGGCTGGTGTGGCTCAGTGGACTGAGCACCGGCCTATGAACGGAGAGGTCACCAGTTTGCAGCCCAGTCAGGGCACATGCCTGGGTTGCAGGCCAGGTCCCCAGTTGGAGTAGCTGGGGATGCGTGAGAAGCAGCCAATTGATGTTTCTCTCCCTCTCTTCCCCACTCTCTAAAAATAAATAAATAAAGTCTTTTAAAAAATGAATGGTGCCAAATGTTTTACTCTTCGGGTTAAACAAGAAAAGGAAAATGACACAGTGGCAAAGGACTGAACTGGACCACCCAGGTCATTCCTGTGAAAAAGCACCTAAAGTGGCAACTGCAATTCAGATTTCCAGAAGCTGCTGGCATCTTGTTGTGTGGCTGGGTTTTGTTCTCTCTCTCTCTCCTTTACTTGTTTAAGGGATGAGTAGAAACTGTAAGAACCTTCCAATTTCCCCTCCGTATCAGCCATACTTCTGCAAGATGAGCATTCAACAAAGTCCTACGATATTCTCTTCACACAACATCCATACCATTTTTTCCAAGGGTTACAAAGGTTTTCTAAGACCCTAGTTGTAATCCATTTCTCTCTCACCATTCCAATACAGCAAGTTTTTACCCCCTCAAGGGATACATTACCTTGAAATGATACCATCAGTAACATTAATAGTATGTTTTCCCTCCAAGTGTAGAAAGCTATTCAGAGCTCCAAATGGTCGCTGGGCCAGTTTGGACAACTTCGATTGACTCTTTAAAAGACCATGCACTCAGTATAGTAAATAATAAGAGCCAGCAATAATTGAGTACTTAGCGTGGGGCCCGGTGTTTCTCAGGCATTGCCTCATTTAATCCTCAAGACAACGCTATGGGGAGAGTGCAACCATTATTGCCGCCTTACAGATCAGGACAGTGAGGCTCACAGAGTGAGCCTGCGGGACCTGCCCTAGGAGAAGAAGAGACAGGCAGAGGCCAGCGGCTGCCCAAGACCACAGTTAATGATTCACTCAAGCCCTCGGGCAGCTCCTTTTAGTAAAGGCTGACACACACACACTGTACTCACTCACTCACTCACTCACTCACTCACTCACTCACTCACTCACTCACTCACAAACACATTCTCATCTTCAACTCTTCATCCCAGCCAGAGGCGGGTGGCCGGCAAATTGCTTGGCAACGCGCGCAAGAAACTCCATCCAAACCCGGGGTCCGCCGGGCCCAGTCCGCCTCTGGGCGCTGTCCAGCGGGCAGTGCGCCTGAGAGTCCTGGCTGGGGTCCTGCTTCCAAACACCCCAAAGGTGGGGAGAAAAGCCGAGGCCAGGATTTCAGGCTTTGAGGTGGGGGGGTGGAGGCACCGTCCCCAGGGTCACTTGTTGTCATCTCCCGACTTGGGACAACAAAAACCGTCCTGGGCACCCAGATCTTGGGGAAGACACGCATTGGTAAATAGTGTCTGCGTATGAGTGCAGGGGTCGCAGGGGTCTTCCTCGTATACCCCCACCTACCTTAGACCGATTCACCTCTCCTCCTCCCACTTCTGGACGCCCATGGCGTGTGGAAATGTCACGCCTTCCTGGGACTCTGGCCGAAGCAGGCGCGGGGCACGAGGGGCTACTGCAGCAGCCTCGGCGCTAGGACCTCGCGGCTGGCCCGCCCCCTGCCCGCTCCACCTGCGGGGCCCCTGTCTCCCCACGGCACGCTAGCCCTCCCTCTGCGGGCCCAGTTACCAGTGACGCTGCCCGCAGGATCCCGAGTTATTGCCCGAAGGTCGCCGTGGCGGAGCCGGCTGGGCTGACCGCGGACCCCTCCGGGGTGCGCTGCTCTACGCCGCACTCGCTCTGGATCACAGCGCCGCGGCAGGCTCTAGAGTCTGGACGCTCCCACCGTTCCTGATTGGCTGCAGTGCCCTCCCAAGCCGCGCCCTGATTGGGCAGCCCAGAGGGGGGGGCGCTCCGTGCGCCTACGGGACCTACTCCCAGGGCCCTGGCGCCACCTTCCAGATACGCGGGAGGAGTGGAAGGCATACCTGCCAGTAGCACGGCGTTGGTGGGGAGGAGGGTCGCCTTGGAGTCTCTACCGTACTCATAGCCAATGGTAGAGAGTGGTTATCACTGCCTCTCTGGCTTCACTCTCGCTCCTACCGGGGGTTTTGACTACCTGTTCATTTTGATACTGAGTACAAAAAGGGCATTGGACGCAGGGCAGTGTCTGGTAAACAATGGGTTCCAAATTGGATACGTGCCCTCAAGTGAAGCTAGATGATAGTAATAATGATAACAACCCTAATGTTTCCATGAGCATGTTATTTGCTGGGCACTTTTCTAAGTGCTTCACAAATATTAATTCACAAATACAGGAAATAGCTGCCATAAAGGTTGTCAGTATGTCCGGTGGAAAGTATGGACAAGCGACATCAGTGCAGAGAATGGAGAGACTTTCATCCAGAAGGCACGGTGTTGCAGTAAAGAGGCTCAAATTAGAGTGGAGAGAGATTATCGGGAATTAAAATTGTTCACAGCTGCCGTTTCTTCTTCCATATTCTTTAGTCCTCCGCCATTTTCTCCCAACAGCCTTGAAACTTTCTAAGTAAAAACATACTATAAATCAGGATGCCACCAGAACTTTGTCCCACCGCCATAAAAGAAGCCCCACTAAACACCTAGATAGACCATGAGTAGAAATTAACAGTCTAGTTTATATTTGATTTCGGTTGTGAGTATGTAACCATTTTCCTGGAGGTAGTCGCTCCTAGTTCTACCCTCCTATGTCGCTGTCCTATGTTGAGAGAACCTGCTGGTGAGAAATTTAGCTTGGTAGAGAAGTAAAGACCCCAGTGACACACCAGCTCGACCCACTCTGAACAGACTGATCATTGCTTTAGACCTGTGATTTTCAACTGGTGTATTGTGAGAATTTTTAAAACATGCAATACCTGACAATTTAGTCAGGGGCATTGACCTCTTTTCCCTGAGATTGTCAACTTAAAAAGAAAAAAAGAACAGCCAACCCAGCAATATCTGTCCGGTATGAATGAATGAAAGTTATACCCATTTTTTTGTGTCAGATTGGCAAAAAATATATTTTGGCGTGTACCGCAGAATGTTAGTACTAATAATTAGCTTATGTGTGCCGTAAGATAAAAAAGGTTGAAAATCTCTGCCATAGAGTCATTGACCTGAAGTCATTGACTGTGTACAGCCCAAGACCCTAGAAGAAAATTAGCTCAGTTTTCTCCAGTTTATATCAATGGACAGGCCATTAATTAATTTTTTTTATTGAAAAGGTGGATTGGGCATTGGTGGAGCACACAGACTGTGTGAGGATGGTTCTTTCACTAGTGACCCTCTCCAAACATCAGGAGCACGTGGAGGGCGGCATCCACCTCTCATTCCGCTCACTCACTTTCTGTAGCTGTGGCTTCTGACAGCACAGGAGTTCCATAAAGATTGATCACTCTGCTCTGGCTGGTGTGGCTCAGTGGATTGATTTGTTTGATTTGTTTCCCACTCAGGGCACAGGCCCGCCTTGTGGGCCAGGTCGCCAACTGGGGAAGTGTGAGAGGCAACCAATCAATGTATCTCTCACATGCTTCTATCCATCTCTTTCTCACGCCCTTCCCCTCTCTCTAAAAGTAAATAAGTAAAATCTTTTTAAAAAGAAAAGAAACAGATTGGTCACTTTATCACTCCAAAGAAGAAAGGCTATTTTAGCCAGAGAACTAGGCTGACCCAAGATGATTTCTTAAACGATCAACCCTGGTCACATCACACTAAACTCAGCCCTCCGGAAGGATGAGAAGTGAAAAAAATCTGGATCCCAACATCCACTCTGGAATCTCGAGGACAGGAACTGTTCATGCATCCATCTGTCCCCTGCCGCACTCAGCAGGGCTTTGCTTCCTTCTGTCTCCTGCAACACACTTCTTCACTGGCCACTCCTACTTAGCACTCAAGACTCAACTAAAGTTATCCCATCCTGCCCTGGCTGGTGTGGCTCAGCGGATTGAGCACCGGAATACGAAGCAGAGGGTGGCTGGTTGGATCCCTAGTCCGGGCACATGCCTGGGGTGCAGGCCCAGGCCAAGTTCCTGGTGTGGGGAGCGCAAGAGGCAACCACACATTGATGTTTCTCTCCCTGTCTTTCTCCCTCCCTGGCCCTCTGTCTAAAAAATAAAATCTTAAAAAAAAAAAATCTCATCCTCCACAACACCTGCGGTTCTAACTCTCCCAGACAAGGGCAGTGATCCCCTTGCCTATGTAACTCATTACAGAACTAAGCAACAGCATTCTAGTGACCAGCTTACATGGCTGTCACTCCAACTAATTCTCCCCCATGCCTGGCCTAGTAATTAAAACACATAGATATTCAGTTAAACTTGAACTGATTGACTAAAATCCCTAACAGGACTGGGCCAAACTCCTACCCAGGTCAACAGGGCCTCCTCCAGTTCCAGGCTGGACAGTTGGTGTGGGTCAAAGCGATTATCCATCCATCCAATCCAACAGTGAATGGGGTAGTTTCTGTATGCCAGGCTCTGCCAGGTAAAGAGAAAAACGAGCTCTGGTTAGAAGACGTGTTATTCTACCTTGATAAGCTCTCTCTTAAATGTACACAAGATGAAACTGTGCAGCTGATTTAGAAAAAAATAAGTTTGACAGTCTCTCAGTTAAACATAGAGATACATATGACCCTGTCATTCCTCTCCTAGCTGTATGTCTGATAGAGGTAAAAATGTTTGCCCCCATACAAACTTATACGCAAGTGTTCACAGCAGCATCATTCAGAATAGTTGAAAAAGGCAAACAACTCAAAGTGCATCCACTAATGCGTATAACCACTCATTGGAATATTAGTCAGCCACAAAAAGGAATGAATACTGATACATACTACAGTATGGACGAACCTTGGGAACATTATGTGAAGTGAAGGAAGCCAGACACAAAAGTCCACATACAGTATGATTCCATTTAGATGAAACATGCACAATAGCTAAGTACTTAAAGGCAGAAAGCAGGCTGGTGGTTGTCGGGGGGTGGGGGGGTGTGAAGAAGACAAGCAGTGATTGGTTCAATGGATGTGGAGTTTCCTTTTGGAGCCATGCAAATGTTGTGGAATTAGCCTGTGGTCATGGTTACACAACTTTGTGAACAGTTAAAAAAACAAACCACTGAAATGTTCTAAAAGTTGCACATAGCCTGTATTCTGAGCATGCAGAAACTGTCACGGAAGACGGACGCATTAGGAAATCCTAAAATGTAGTAGCTAAATGGAAAAAAGTGCAGAGGAACAGAAAAACCTACAAAAACCAAAAGTTGCCTTGTCCCCCCTCACTCCCTCCTTCAGCAACCCAGAGGGATTTACTCCTTAGGTGTGTACACGGAAGAGTCCATGCTGATGGGAACGTTCTTTGCTGAGCTATTCCATAAGGAAGCCACTAGGCACAGGTGACTTGCAGTTAGTGCAACTGAAGAACTGAATTTTAAATTGTACTTATATTTAAATAGTGGCATTTTTTGACTGCGCTCCCTGCAGTGCGTAGCTCTTGCTGGGTTAAAAGGCTAGAGCCATCATGACAAGCAGCTTGGAAAAATACTGGAGGACCTGGGAATGGGACGTTCTATGTCTTTATGGCCCACAGCCCAAGTCAAGTGTAAATCCACTAGAAATCCTTCAGTAAGACCTCATGGCTCCCACCCCTCTCCTTTCTATGAACTCAATGAACTTCAGTCAATTGCAATGTTTAGTTTTGTCTTTATGGCAACGTGCTTCTGTTCCACAGATATTTATGGACCAAGCACTCTGTGGCATTCTGGGAAGAAAAAGCAGTGCAGACAATGTCCAGTTCCAAAGGGCTGGTCTTGACAAGGCTGAAAAGAAGAAGAAACAAGAGAAATTCCCTTCAAGGACCTGGCTCCTTCCCCACTCCCCTCTCGCATATCACCTATACGCTTCCCAGTGGGAAATCTTGTCGGTAAGATGCTGAAGTGATGCTGAATCTTTATTTAGATTTCCTGTCTCCAGCTGAAGCCTTTCCATGTCCTGAGGTCCTTTAGTACACCTTCCAATTCATGTTGATCTTTCCCTCCCGTGAGCTGAACTTTCATTGAACTTGAACTGGTAGAATGTAATGACTTTCCGTGTGTTTTCCTGTAATGTGGTGCCCCACAGCAAGATTCATTTGTTGTGAAACAAATATTGTGCACCAGGAAATTTTGTGGATTAAAAAAAACAGACAGGGTCACTGAGCCACTTAGAGCCCGAGGAGGCTCACAAGGCGTCCGACCGAGTGTGGCTTAGATGTGTCGGGAGGTTGGCAGAAAGCACAGAGCAAGGAGCCGCTGACGGGCCCCTGCAGAAATTCTTTGTGCTGGCCTTCAAGGCTGTCACCCAGCCCGCCACAGGGCCGTCACACCTGTTAACCTTCAGGGCTTTCTGGCCCTGAGCCCCACAATGCCTACAGGCTCCTCTGGTTGACGTCTTTCCTTTCTTTCCACTGACCGGTGCAGTGGCATCAGGTTCTCGGGGTCAGTCGTCAGCTGTGGAGGTGAGGGTGGACATCCCTGTGTGACGAGGACCACTCTTCTGGTCCCTACCGTCCGCGCTGCTGAAAGAGGTCACATTCCAGGAATGCCACGCTGAGGCGCTGGAGCAGACCAGGGTGGAAGATGTGTTAGTCCACCTCCACCAGGTTCTCTGGGGTTCAGAGAAGACCACGTACCTGAGACTCCTTTGTAATCTACGCACAGGAATTATTTTTATTAGTCCCGTGTGACAGAAAAGAAAACTAAAGAGAGGAGGGTGAAATGACATCCCAAGATAAAGAGGCCCCAGAGGAGCATTGTT